CGGCGCCCTGCGCCCCTCCCCCCACGGCGCCGCCCTGCCCCGCCGCGGGGCCCCCCGCCCCAAAACGGGGCCACCCCCACGCCATAACGGGGCCCTCCGTCCCTCCGCGCCCCTCATGGCGACCCCATGAACCTGGCCCAGGTGGCGGGGAGGCCCCACAGGGCCCTGGCTTGGTGCCATCGTGCCCCAAAGCCAAGTCCCTCGTGGGCGCCTGCGGGTCCCCTCAGCGCCGCGCCGCCATTTCACTCCCTGGCCCACCTGCCACCATGGTGCCTGCCGCACAACCTTCCCCACAGGCCTCGCTCACGTAGGGGGGTTGTGCAGGTGGCGAGATGGGCACCGTTACGTTTCCATATGCCCTTGCCACGAGGCCTGGCCACATTTCCACAGAGTTTCTCAGGAGGAATGAGAGCCACCTCGCCTGCGCTCCCCCAAAGAGACGCAAAAGGCGTCGTGAACGTCATTTAAACCCTTGCAGTCAAGGTTTATGTTTCATATTCTTCAGCAGGCTCAAGAAATGATGCAGCACTTCAGAAAACATCTAATAATAAAATACCTGAGTCAGGAATACACGGCTAATTCAAGTGATTCCTTGGAGCTTACTCCACGGCAGGAGACAGGGAGAAAATTCCTTATAGCTCCAGGGACCTCAAAACATTTCAAATCCAGGCACTGAACACATCCCCAAAATCTGTTTTGTTATGTTTTCCTGAGCTTTTCTTGCATACTCATTGCCTTTGCCCCACCATTTTTACCTGTTTGTTCTACAGCGTACATGTGTCAAGGGAACACCACAGAATTAGCCCTTGTGGCTCTTTCAGGCATGGTTTTACCAGATGTGCGACCCGGTCACACTAGACCACGTGCCGTAGCATGTGTGCTCCAAACCATTACGCAGAGGTGGACGTAGGATCAGGGCAAAATTCAGGCCTGCAAGTAATACACCTCCTGTGCCTTGTGGGAGAAGAAGATCTGAAGATTGGATCAGAAGACTGGATCTGTCCAGAATAAATTACTGAAGTAGTGAAATATCGACTCAAAAGAAGCAAAGCATACGGGTGAAATAGACTTCAGACTGTCCCACTTTGGCACGGCAGGTCCCCTTTCTCGGCCTTTCTCACATTGGTTCACATTGCAGCCTGTCCCTTCTAAGAGCTGTGACGCTGGGAGTTCTTGGTTTTGATATTGTTGTCTGGAAACCAAAGAAGAATGACAACCACCGAGGATGGGAAGGTGAATCTAAATGTTTACTTGAGTCCACAGTAAGAAGTACAGCTGCAACCCTACCTGCAGCACTGGAGGTGGCCCACGTAACCATTCCGTTATGTACGGTTGTAGGTGGCCCACTGAGTTGTGCTGTCTTTCCAAAAGCTGTGCTTTCTTTCCAGGAAACACAGGCAGTGAAATGTCCTACTGTCTCCGTGTAGACTAGGCACCCATAAATTGTAAAATCTTTTCCCTTGCTTCTGAAAAAAAAAAAGAATATTCTGAAAAAAACAAATTTTATCTACATTTTTAAATAACTTTTTAGTTTTAGTATTTTATTCCTTCACAAGAGTCCTTATGATTCCGTTTATAATATTTAATTAAACCAAAGATGGACAAGATTTTAGAAAAAAAATGCAGGGTGCTGTCCAGTCTGTGCCCTAACAGAGGACAAGAGATTGGGCTGGGAAAAAAAAAAAAAAAAAAAACGAACACATAATGCAAGAAATTAGTCTGAACTAAAAAGGAAAGAAAACTGAGACACTGTTTCAAATTGTAATTGTGGTTCACACCAATACTTTGAACTGCTCTTTCCACTCCTACCTGAGTAGATTTCCTTAATTTATCATTAAAAGATGGTTCTAGTCAATGTATCCCATTCGGCCTCTCTGCATTTAGTTACACATTTTCATTTTTGTATGCATTAAAGCTACTAGTAGGCAAGAAGCAGCCATGGCACCGTGGGATCCTTTGGAAATTCTCCTTGCGCAGTCTGGCAGTGTATCAGTCTCTACAATCTCCCTCCACCTTTTATTTTAGCTTTCACGAGCAATGGGCAATACCATTTCTACCTCCTAAAGTCCATTATCACTCCTGGAAAGCAGGGCTATACAGGAGAAGAAAAAAAAAAGCATTTTTAAACCCCTTCTACTCTTCTTTTTTGTACACATCTTGTTTAAGCAAGACTCAACATTTATTGGGTACACGACAGAACAAAAGAAAAGTGTCATTTCCCGAAGCATCTTAAATTCTATTTATAGAAATGATGCAACAACCAGAGAGCAACTGCTGTGAGGAAGGGCGGCACAAGACTGATGTTGCTCGATGGTGTCGTTTTCCTGCGCTCTCCCACTCCTTCCACATCCCTTTTCAGAGATCTCATGCTACAGGTCCAGGAGGATTCCTTTGGGAGCAGCTTGGAAGTGGAAGGATGAAGCTGGCCAAGGACTACTGAGCAGCATCACAACTGATTGTGGGAACAGCATTCATGTGAACGTGTGTTAAGGCCAGCATTGCAAAAGGAACCAGCCTGGTTCAAACGAGATGTGAAAATAAGCTTGATTTTATGAAAACGTATGGGGTTTCAGTACCATCGCAGAAATTATACATAAAAATAATAATAATAATAAAATAAACTAAAAATCTGTGAAAATCTGCTTCAGCTGCACCACCCTATTCTGCCTTGCCGCCAGTTGCCTATTCCCAATCACAGAGCAGGCTTTTTGCAAACCTCATATTTAGACGGATTTTCTTTCTACACAGCAACGGGGGGAATTCGCGTTATCCCGCAGCTCCAGTTGAGCTAACAATAAACAGAGGGATCAGAAATGCCAAGGTGAGAGGCCAGACAGCGGCGCTGGAGCGGGCGGCGCGGGAGCAGCCACGCTGAGAACCACAAAGGAGCGAGGCCC